CCCCCCCCCCCCCCGACCCCAACGGAGTTGGAATTATACTTGGTTGTTGTTGTTGTTGATCAATGATCACTAAAGGTTACAGGTAGCATCGAAAGAGGACTACAAAAACTACATAGTACAGCAAATAAAGAAACATTATCCTTGAAAATAACAGGTACCTGCCCATAGACCAATTGATTCAATTCACTCAATGACGGGGTCCTCTCCAACACATGTGCCTTATATAAAGAAGATTAGATGCAAACATTATTCCTTTGTTGAAAGACAATTTACAAGAAATAGATCTTTTATACAAAATACACAGAAACATTGTCGAGAGAAGCAACAAAACTAGAGCAATTGGTATCATTTCGGAGCAGCAAGAAATCAACCTTAACACCTCCAGGAAAGCAGAAAGCTGCCAAATCATCTGGACGCATATGCATCTTCTTTCCAGGTGGATATTTAAAGAGTATCTGCAGCAAGAAGAAAAACATAATGCAACTAACCAATGAATGAAAGTAGCACAAAGAGGGATTTTCTACAACATCAAAAATAACTCGCCACAAAAGGAAATACCTTTAGCAATAAAAAAAGCAGAAAATTCTTGGATATCTAAAATCACAAGTTGAGTTTAAACAGCTAAACCTGAGGCTCTAGAGATGGAAGTGAAGGGGCCCGGCGAGATAGCATTCTGATATCCACCATGTCATGCGATTTTTCCAATTCTAGTTCCCATTTTTTCTTCTTAGCAAATGCATCCTCTGCAGCCTTAAGATTAGCCTCTGGATGAAGGCCCACTATAATGAAGTGTTCAAAAAGTGAGGTTGGTCCCTTATATTTCTTATAATCCTGCATGACATTCTCCTTACAATTAATATAATCAAATGAAATGGTAAGTGAAGATCACTATGAACACAACATCCCCAATAGGATCCCACAATAAGTAGGGTCTCGGGTGGGTGTGTATACGCAGACCTTATCCCTACTCAAAAGTAGAGAGGCCATTTCCAAGAGACCCTGGGCTCAAACACAAAAGAAAATGCAAAGTAAACAGAATAGCACGAGCAAAGTAAGAGTACATAGACATGAAGCACACATTCCAACCTTAGCAGCGAGGCCAAACCACAAACTTGGGCCCAAAGGACTACCCGACTACTCTAATCATAGCTCTTTAAGCATTAGTATAAGGTCATATCCTCAGTAAGAGGAGCAACAAGAAACCAACCTATTGCAACTAAAAAAAGTGGAGAAACAACCAGACTACTTATATGTGGGTAATTTCTTGATGTATAATATTCTAACAAATACACGAGAACTTTAGCCATGAACTAAAGAGCTAACAGCTAAATTCTGCAGATAGTTTTCTACTATATACGCAGAGACCAATAATCCGGGCTAACCAGGGATATTAACAAGAATACCCATGAGATTTCTGTCGATGCAGAGAATTTGAATGAATCAATGGCTTGAGAAGGGAAGATGCATGCAGATATACCATTGCTTTGGGATGAAGCTGATACCATTGACGCTTTTGATCGGCAAGGATCTCAGGATTAAAAGAGGGAGAGTCGTCCTGAAAATGATTCCCCCAATGCAAAGCTTTTTGCATCTGTATCTTCCATTTCTGAAAGTTATATGCATTACCACCACCTCCCCAGTGGAGCACTGATGAAGAGGAGGAAGAAGAAGTCACCACTACTTCACTGTGACTTCTTCTATGTGTCCTCGGCCGTCTTGCTGCAGGTGGGATGCCAAAACTGCCCGTGATATTCTGCAGCGCCTCGCCTGTCACTCTCACTACCTCCTCTGAAATTTGCTGCAACACCTCATAAGGGGGTGTTTGCAATTCCTCTCCCCATTCCCCTTCTCTTGGTTGCATCACTCTATTTACAGTCTAATGAAACAACAACATCAACAACAACCCCCACAATGGGGTCTAGGGGTGGGTACACACAGACCTCAACCAGATTTAAGGTTAGAGAGGCCGTTTCCAAAAGACTCCGGCTATTCACAGTGTAATGGAACATTTACAAAGAAGAACATCATACAAAGATGCAATCTTCAGCCTGAAAGACACATTCTTTTCCCAAAACCAATCATTTCTAATACATTTTCCCCTGAAATCTGAGATGCCCACAATAACAATTGAAGAAAATCGATTGATCCGAGCAGATTACGAAGGCCCCACATGTTTTTACATCCTCAAGAACGTGAATATACGCAAAGCAAGGCGCCACTTACATAAAGTTTGAATTTTTGATGGGTTATAGAGTTGTTTATGCTTCTGGGAGATGCAAATCATCTTCCGAGATTGGCAACGGCAATGGGGGAAATGCATTCCTGTGAAATAACAAAAAAATTGTGAGGATGATCGTTTGGCCGCACCCATTCATTCAAACACTCCTAACCAGAAGCTTATGTGGAGGATATTTGGTGAACGGCTGCTTAACCTTTGACATGGACAAAATTTTCGAGCCAGCAGGAGTGGAGTTGCAAATGGAAGATAGTTTGGGACTATTATTAAATTCGATGTATTTTTAGAATCGGATTGGTATAGGGATTTTATAAAATTGGAATAAAATTGAAAAATTCTATGAATCTAATTGAAGTCTTCCATTCCAATAAATTTACATATTTTTGTACTATCAAATAACAGAATTGAAATTATAATATCTAATTCCGATTTCATAATTTGAATTTCGTGTATAAAACGGAGCGTAGGTGTCTTTTGGAATACTTATAAATATAAATTTTCAAATTTTTTCTTCAAAAAATAATACGAATATTTTTTAAGTCAAAATAAAAAAATAATGTCAATATACACTCAGCCTAATACGCATACTCCGTATGAATGAAGACCTGACAATCATATCAATCAGATTCGTATTGATTCTATTTTATTCAATTCGAATATCTATCATATATGTGTTATAATAAGTTCGATTCAATTAAAAAAAGTTTGATTTGATTTAATTTTGGTTTAAAGTTAATTCAATTCTATACGGAGTACAATTTTGAAGCTCGGTAAATTTTGGACTAGTTCAAATTCAATTGAGATACAAATTATTTCGAATAGAACTTGTCATCTTCCACTTATTACTTAGAGAGTACTCTTTCCGTCCATTAATTTCTTTCTCACTTTCCTTTTTAGGCTGTCCAATTTTTTTTCTCATTTTCTATTTTGACAAAATTTTAAATGAATGTGCCATTATACTTTCACTTTTTATATTATCTATACTATTCACTTTATTCTATCACATCAAGGGTAACACACGAAAAATCTTTAGATTTTTTAATTTTTCTTAATCTTAATGTCAAGTCAAAACGGGGAAAAAAATTTGGAGGGATGGAGAAGATCAGCTCAACCCCTCAGCTTGGACGACAAAAATGATACGGAGTACTTAATAAAAAATGTGTTTAAAGAAAAAGTGTTGGCGCCTCAAAATGAAATTATTAAGGTAAAAATAATCATTTTCTAGTTTCTCTATTAGGCTAAAAAACTCCAATCATTTGGGAAACCAAGAGCTTCAATGGGGCTTGGATCTTCTGTCCCCTTCATGTCCTGACTTTCTATTCCATCACTCATATAAATTAAAAAAAAAAAAGGAAAGCTAAAGACTGTTAATCATCAATAGCAACTTCGAACCTTTGACAATCCATAGCAAAAAGGAAGTAAAAATCATAAAGTAACTTAAAGCCTTTAGGAAGTTATGGTTGGTTATATTTGGCTTTTGCTTTTCTTTTTAATCAAATTAAGCACTTTGAACGTTGAAAGCAAAGCCAAAACATAACAATAACTCCCTATAGCCTCCAAGACAACGGGCAAAGAAAGGTTATCACACAAAATACACCGTAATTTCTTCAAAAAAAAAAAAAAACAAGCCCAATTTTTGAGGCAGCAGAAAGGGGAAAGGTTTTCTTTTCTTTCTTTTTTTTTGGGGGGGGGGGATGGGGTCCAAGATTCTTGGAAACACACACCATGCCAAACGTTAAAGCCACGAGCTCATTCATTACTCATGAATGCATACTCAGCACAACACGAAGGCAACCTCCCTCGTGCATCAGATCAAAAGCCTCATTGATCTCTGGAAGTGTCAGGTTGTGTGTAATGTACTCGTCCACTTTGATTTCCTGTGAGATGGCATTTCATTTCAGAGTTGTGATTGACACAAGTATACAAAGTATATCTAGATTAGTCCCTTGCCTATGTATTTACTCAAGTTGATCATTGACTTTCTTTTGGGCTCAATAGTGTTCTCCACAATTCACTTAAGACTAAATTTAGTCCCCATGCATACTTTAATTATAATGACATACATGTCCTTTGAGGGCTAGAATAGGGTCTAAACTACATATGCAATAGTTAAAAACAAAACTGAAACCTAGATTGGTCCAAATTTAGTTAACTAACAAAAATACTTTTCATACCTAACCACACATGGATGAGAACTGAATTTCATAGTCTAGGTCGAAATGGGATGGACAAAAAAATACCCCTCATACTTGATCAAACATGCATGAGAACTGAACTCGTGAATTAGACCCAAACTCCATAGTCAATTAGCAAATTGAGTACTAGTGTATAGTGGAGACAATAAGCCGGTTAGCCAGATATATTAAGTGTTAACTACACATGAAAGTATAGGGGTGTAGTGTATTTACCTTCTTCATATACTTGTCCACAAGCCAAGGTACTTGTGAGCGGCTTTTAAAGCCGCCAAAAGCAGTTCCCTTCCAAACACGACCAGTCACCAGCTGGAACGGACGCGTTGATATCTCTTGGCCAGATGCTGCAACACCTACGATAACTGATGTTCCCCAGCCCTATTAACAATTTATATGATTTTAAAACATTAACAATGAGTTTAGAGTTTTTTTAGCAGTCGTGCCTCATTTTGGGTTGATTATTGAGCAGAATTTGATTATCTTCGGAATGACTGGTAGTCACCCAAAGCTAAGGGTCTGTTCGGAATGGGGAAAATAGTAAGGAAAGAAAATTATGGAGGAAATAAGATACGTTCAAACTAAACTTATTTGAGATAGTTGTTTAAGACATTTTTTACAAATGTATATTAAATAAGCTTTATGATATAAACACTAGGAGATTTCTAATAGTTGTATAGAAAAAAACCAATTCCATTCTCTTTAAACTTTCAAAAGTAAAACCAAACTTAATAAAGTATCTTTAGCATTTTTCATTATCCTAGTATTTTCATGAACCCAAACAAACCCTCGGGGTGTGTTGGAGCCATGGCATACCAATGCCACTTTCACCAATTAATAACACCCAAGAGTTCCGTATTTCCTAAGTTTTCAGGATCCAAACATAGGGAACACACATTCTCATCACACTCACTGAATTATACACCAATCCAAATGAGGCTTTAAAAAGCAAGACAGAGCACCAACACCAATTACACCTACCTTATGACAGCACTCTAGAGCAGCCCTCATCACTTGGACATTTCCAATGCACTCAAAACTATAGTCAACCCCACCATCAGTTTGATCGACGATAACCTGCTGTATTGGTTTGTCATGGTCTTTTGGATTGATGAATTCAGTCACACCAAAATTCTTAGCTGCATTTTCATAAATAAAAAGAAGAAGAAGAAGTCAAGAATGTCCCTAATCAGAAGAAAATTATCAAAATATCAAGATGCAAAGAAAACACAGTCATGCATAATATTGGTTTGTTCATACTCAGTTAATAAAAAACCAATATGTGATAAAGGTCAAAAGCAAAGAAGCGATAATTATACTAAATGAATAATGTGGGTATATAAAGTTCTACCTAAGTCAAACTTTTTGCTGTCAATATCTATCCCAATGATTCGTGAAGCACCAGCAGCTTTGGCACCCTCTGCCACCTATGGAGCAATTAAAATCACATTAACCACTGGTAGAACAATAGACTGAGAACACTATTATCAACACGTTGAAGGATATTGGGAGGAGAATTACAGCAAGACCGACAGTCCCGAGGCCAAAAACAGCAACGTTGGAGCCTGGTTCAACTTTTGCAGTGTTCCAAACTGCTCCAAGACCTTAAGAACAAAAGTATATGATGTAAATAACTAAAAAGTGTGCACAACTTGTTCCATACTCAAAACAGTGATGAACAGGTTGGCATGTATACAAGTTCAACCAATCTGAAAAGCACATGACGAACTTCCTGATATAAAATTGATACACATGCAGCAAGAGTTCCTGGAGTGAGATAGGTGCTAATGTAACACTTAATTTCTGATAATAAATTAAATAAAAAACAAAAAACAGCAGTATAGAATTATAAACCACCTCAGATATGCTGTCTCAGAATATTGCTGATTATGTTATCCTAATGAATAACTGTGAGAGCCAGCAGAGCACAGGACTTGATAACGGTGCAAAAATTAAAAGAAAGAAGAAAAAAACAACACAAGTGAAGAAAGATTCTTTTCTTAAGATCACATTTCTCACACTAGCTATTTTGTGATTTTTATCTGTTGCCTCTGTTCTTCATTCGCCCAGTTATTAGAAGTAGGCATATCATCATAAACTACAATTTGTAAGGATATTTGTATGGAAAGAAATACAAAGGCCAGAATTCACAACTAAGAAGCAATGGCCCAAACCCATGATAAAAATACTAAGGATCACAAAGTGAGTTTACAAGAAAGGCAACACATGAAAAGCTTGAAGAGCTAAATTGCTGAAGTCATAAAGTTTACACTACGAATCGGATACAAAAGAGAAACTAGTGGGCATGCTAAAATTTAATCAAATTCAACAAATAAGAGTGTGATACCTGTGGGTACACCACAGCCAAGAAGGCACACTTTTTCTAACGGCGCCTTCGGGTCAATCTTAGCGACACTAACATCGTGGACAACTGTGTATTGACTGAATGTTGAAGTTCCCATAAAGTGATAGATGGGCTTTCCATTGATTGAAAATCGACTCTTGCGGTCGTTCATCATGACTCCAACCCCAGTAGCACCCCTTACTTTTCCACAAAGATTGGTCTTTCCTGATTTGCAGAACTTACACTCCTTGCATTCTGCCTGATAACAGGGAATAACATGGTCTCCAGGCTGAACCTCAGTAACACCTTCACCAACGCTCTCCACTATACTGCATTTTCATATGAAAAGAAAACTGAAAATGAGCAATGAACCAATATTTCCAATCAGCGCAAGTTTATATAAATTTATTATTACTGTTTATTGATGTAACAAAAACGAGCAAGTACCCTGCAGCTTCATGGCCAAGAATGCATGGGAAGAGACCTTCGGGGTCCTTCAAAAGTTAGAACCAAATTAAAAAAAATTAAACAAAAAAATGTCTCAGATTACAAAACAGACACTCCTATGGAACATGTCCCCTAATTAGTGTGAACCGTTTTATTTTTGCATAAATCTACAGTTACACATAAATATTAATAATTACACATAAACAAATATGACACATACATAATATTCTAAATCTATGATTCCAAATGATATAACTTCGATGTATTTTTATGTAAATCACGATCAAATTCTATAAAGTCTGACCATAAAATTCAAAGTTTGCACAGTAATTAGGAACAGAGGGAGTATCAATTGCTGCATAGTAAAATCAATCAAGCAAACTACATTTAATTACGTAAACAGATAGACTGAGAGATAGATAGATACCTTGCCGCTCCATGTATAAGCATCGGTATGGCAAAGAGCGGCGAATAGAACCTTAACTCGGACTTCACCGGCCTGAGGCGGATCCACCTGAACGTCCTCGACAGCAAGAGGCTTGTTGGGTTCCCAGGCCACCGCCGCTTCACAATCACAGATATAAAAAACGACAATAGCCAACCAAATTCAGATCCCAGTCGAGCTTAGGGTTCCACACATAATCAACACAACAGATAAAAATCATGCAAAGACTAAAGGAATTAACAGTACCTTTGCAGGTGATAACTTGACCTTGAGTCGCCATGGATAGCAAACCTCGAAAGAAATGGGAGGACAGGCTTTTTTACTTTAAGCTATACATGGTAACCATACGAAAATACGGGTTGCCCGGGCGGGATCCAACCGGATCCGGACTGGATAGGAACCAAAAAACGGAAAAAAGGCTTCTTGGGGACCGAAGAGCGAACATGGGTAAGATTGGAGTTGAATCGGATCCGAACTGAAACAAGACCAGATCGAATAGAATCCATCCCGCAACTCCTGGGCCGGTTACTGTAGCTATGGGCCGTTTTTTTTTCATTTCCTAATTTTCTGGACCTGATCAATTTTTTGATAAAAAAACTGTTTTTTCAATAACAACGCTCCTGGGCCTTATTAATTTTAGTATACAATTGTAACATTTATTAAATATATTAAAACTATGTTTGGTTCAAGGAATTTGAAAAGGAAAAGAAAAGAAAAATGAAGTGGAAAACCATTTTTCTTGTTTGGTTAGAGTTGAAAAGAAAGAAAAAGTGGAAGGAAAAGAAAATGAGGAGGCAAAATGTACCAAGTGGATGAAAATCAAATTCCTCCCATTTTGGTGAGGAAATTGAGAGAAAACCATTTTCTTTTCTTTTCCTTCCAAAATCCTTGAGCCAAATATAATGTAAAGGAGTTTACAATTTCTGATGATCTTATTTAAAATTAATATTTTCCAGAATTACTTTGTTAAAATACTACTGAGCTTTATTTGTGCAAACAATAATTAAACATGAAAAAAAAAGTTTAAGATTATTTTTCCGATTTTATTATTATTATTATTATTATTATTATTATTATTATTATTATTATTATTATTATTATTATTATTATTATTATTCCGAAAAAAGGAATGCTTATATTAGTGCAATCAATAATTAAATTAGGAGCTTTATACAAAAAATTTGAAAAAAGAGAAATTTCAACCCACCACCACACGTCAGTTGAATTTAGGGTGAAACTGCTATTATTAAATTAAAAAAACCAGCCCACTTCGTAGCCACTTCCCCTCTTTTGACATGTGCAACTTCCCACTTCCCCTGTGCCATTAGCCTTATAAATGCAAGAGTCACTCTGCTTTGCTTCCATACAATATCACATTTTCACTTCCCTACAAAAAATCACACAATGGCAAATGAATCAAGCCAAGCACAATAGAAGTGATTTTTCATGACTCAAAGGTAAACACTTTAACCGTTCTACTATCTACAGTCAAGCAAAGTTTAATATCTAGGCTGACCAATTTCATTTTCTTTGCAATAGGGAAAAAGGATTCATGCTCAGATTAAGAGGCCTGAAATAAATAAATTCAGACCGAAAATCAAGGAAGGGGGGGTTTGTGCATTGAAGAATTTCATAATGACGAGTAACTATCACGGTTTTAAGACAACAGACCACCCTTTTATCCTGACTTTCATTAGAGACACAATGTGGAAAGACTTAAGTGCATACCGATTTCCAAAATTCATGTTTAACTTCTGTCATTTTGAGAAGTTATTGGAACATTTGAGCCAGAATCTGCTAACTGGTAAGGATTCATATTTCAATTTTTTTGTAAAAACATTTTTTATAGTCCTTAAAATAATGCCAATAATAGTAATAATTATAATAACAACAATAAGAATGAAAGAAATTAAAAATGAATAATAAAATACAGAGTACTCTATATATGATAAGATGAAGTAGACAAATACTCTGTAATTATTGTAGATCCGTACTCCAGCGCAAAACCGGTCTTTATTTCTGGTGCAAAAATGTGGCGGCCGTCCATTGTGACGCTCCGTCGACCCCCCCTCCCTTTTTTCCTCTTCTTCTTCCTCGGCGTGGTCTGTTTTTGCTTCTTCTTCCTCTTTGCCCCAATTCCATTTTTAGCTTCTCCTTCCTCATTTTTTTTTATTTTAAACCCTTTTTTTAATGTATTTAATTTCGATTTTTTCCAATTTCATTTTTTAATTTCAATCATTAATATTTAATTAATTTAATCTTTTTAGTTACTTTTGTTAAATTTGAATGTATACTTTTATTTTTTATGGAGTATTATTTATCTATTTCTATTAATAGAAAATATTTGTATTAACTTTATATTAGTTTGAATTAAAAATGATGAATATTGTGAAAAAGATAGAGAGGCAGGTTTTCAAAGTAATATCATTACATGATCTGGAGTGAGACTGCAAATTAGTGAAATGCTAATGTGACAGGAGTTGCTATGGAATAGAATTTGGATAATTGTAAATGCTCTTAAAAATTGCAAAGAATAATGCAATATTTAGAGGTTCAGTGATCGAAAAATCCTCTATCTCACCTTAATGATGACTTAAATTCAAGACCTTTGAGGAACTAATGCAATGCTTAGAGGTTCATTGATGGAGTATACAAGTTTATTTAAATGATATGACTATCGGTGGAGTTGTTTTAGAGCAACTCCCTTTAAGTGGTTTCGGATCACACCAGATCTAACTAGATAATGTTCTATTCACAAAATTAACGATTCTTACTCTTCTACTCTTGTGACAAACAATCTCATAGTGGCCCCGCTCAAATCCACCTCATACTCTCTTCAATTGCACATTCAAAATTAATCGATTTTGGAGTCAATTTTTTTAACTCCAAAGTCAACTAATTTTGAGAGATGCAATTGAAGAAAATAGATGGTGATTTTTTTATCCCAAAGTTAATTAATTTTGGGTGGGCAGTTCAAGAAGTAAGGATAAATTTCAATTGAGCGAGACTTACTGATGTATTAAAACAAATACTCCTTCCGTCCCATTTTAAATCGTCTGTTTTGACTTTTGGGCATTTTTAAGAAAGAGAAAAAACAGAATTGATTTTTCGAAATTGTCATTACTATTTAGGGATAGAGACAATTTCAACGATGAATGAGAAGATAAGGTGGAGAAGAGTGAATTGTTTTAGGGGTAGTTTAGATATTTTACTTTTAAAAGTTTACGATAACAAGTAACATGCAATTTATTTTGGGACAAAGAAAAAAAGCAAACATTTAATTTAAAATGAGACAGAGGGAGTAGAAATCATTAATTTTTCAAATAAAGTACCAAATATGCCCAATTCGAGTCGGAGTCATAAGAACCCACTCTATTCTTGTTCCAAAAGGTGAAATCGCTCACCTCCACCCGATGAGATTATGAGAGTATGTAAATCATGTTGATTGATTCTGAGACTAGTGCTCACCGGTACCAAAACCCATATCCTATGCCTATATGAGACATAAAAATTTATTTAAACACAAGAATGGAGTCCTCTTTACCTTGTTTTGACTTTCCATTTGAACATGATGGGAGTTTTGGCTGACTTTAAGCAGCTCCCCTCCATGTAAATTGTAAAATAGCGGAAATCCAGAAGGGCATAATTGGAAAAAAATTCATTCTTGTAATTTTTTTTTGAGGGAAATTCATTCATGAATAAATCCCATGTAAACACGCATTCGTAGTCCACTAGTCCACATTGATTAGCATTAATAAAGAAGATTAATTTTCACTGAGATACAGACCAGACCCCTAAACTCGTGGGCCGCAAAAAAGGAAAGGAAAAAGAAAAAGAAAGAAAAATCAGAATACAGAGCCGAGAAGCAAGGAAGAAGAAAAGAAGAAGAAGAAGGCAGAAGTAAATTCCCATTCCCATCACTCTCATAGACCTATCCGGGGAATCGGAGGTAAATCATAGTGTGAAGGAAGGCGGAATAAGTCGAAGGAGGAGGAGTTCATAGATCTCGTTGAAGAAAACCGCGTAATTCGAGCTGGAGCTGCTCGGGTTTTTTCTGCATTTGCAAATTGAAGTGAAGTGTTGCGGCTGTGATCTCTCAGACTACGGAACTGATCTGATCTTTCTGCAATTTCATTGAGAAATGGTACCGATTTGTGGTTTTTTGTTGTATGGGTTTGATGGTGTGTTTATTTGGATTTGCACACGGATTATGATGAATTTCGTTGACTGTGCTTGAACGTATTGATTGTTTACAAGTGGTTGACAGTTTTGTTTTTGTTCAATTGATGCCTAGTTCTGGTCAACTAGCTCATGACTGAATATGACTTGGACTCGACATCCTCCAGGGATCATCCGGGAGATGCATTTTTGACCAAAATTCGATCTTTTAATTAATACACACACATACACACAAAGAAGTATAAAGAGAGACACATTTTTGATAGACTACTATTATGATAGAATGCTGTTAAAACGTGGTATTCTAAGCAGATGAAGTATCATACTGCAGTTGATCTTCTATCAGGGAAGAATGGTTGTGTATGTTCACAAGTTTATAAATATACAGAGTAATATATATTTTAAGTTAGATGTTTTAGTTCTATTTTTCATTTTCAGGATTTTTTTTTGAATTTGCACCTCATCCTTTTAGATTAGTTGATCTACTCATGGCAAAAATGTAATTTTGATCATTTATGAAGTTTTGTACGGTGTTGGGTCATGGGTGGTTAATGTGGTGGTTACATTTTGCAGGCTGCTTTAGTCAGTTTAGGTGTTGGGTCTCTTGTCTGGGTGGAGGATCCCGATATAGCGTGGATTGATGGTGAAGTTCTGGAAGTCAAAGGTGAAGATGTCAAGGTTCTTTGCACATCTGGGAAAACAGTGAGTGCTCTCCATATGGTCACTCCAAAATGTGGCATTGTCAAATGAGTACACAATGACTTCCCCTGTCTAACATTTATATTTTCTTCCGTCTGCATAATGGAAATAGTGTGTTTTTAATTAAGTTAGTGTCTATAAAGTACATGGCCTAAGGTACTAAGTCAGGTTTTCATTTTACAGGTTGTTGCTAAGGTCTCCAAAATATATCATAAAGATGCCGAAGCCCCGCCATGTGGTGTTGATGATATGACGAAGCTGGCATATCTGCATGAACCTGGAGTCCTTCAAAATATAAAATCCAGATATGATATGAATGAAATATATGTATGCTTCGTACACATTCTCATTTTCTTTCATTTGTTTATTTTCATAGCTAGTGTTGTTATTCTAATTTATACTTATTTGGCAGACATATACAGGAAATATATTAATTGCTGTCAATCCTTTTAGAAGATTGCCTCACCTTTATGACACTCATATGATGGCACAATATAAAGGTGCTGCCTTCGGGGAGCTCAGTCCACATCCCTTTGCTGTTGCAGATGCTGCATATCGGTAATGAGACATGCCTTGTTCACTATTTG